ACCTGGTTTTTAAGAATGATTTTTTGCTAGTGATAAAAGTACTAAATACATACACTAAAATGTACTATATTACTATTTTTGCTCTCTGTCTCAATTTTCCCAGGTAAATGAATGTAGGTTTCTATGATAAAAAAAAAGAAGCCATGTTTATTTCACTATTTCTTGGAAGTGTCAATTAAAAGTTCATTGAAGAAAATGTTGTCGTTATTCTTCTCTCCTCAACAACTTTAACACAATCTATTAACTGGTTCTGTCCACTAAAGATAACACTATGTTCCATTTTACTCAGGGATTCTAAAAATATTCTTATTTCAAAAAGAAAATATTTCTGGTCATTAGTTGTAAACATATTTTCTCTCACTATAGAAATACAATATAAAATGCATCTTAATCTAGAATTCTAATATCTATGTTAACCATACTTGCGTAGGTATTTGTTGAATTCATATTAGTTCTTCCATATTAAATCAACCAAATTGGTATATTTTTTGATACAGTGGTGTATTACAAGATATCCAGCATGTACGAAGCATCTCTCATAAGTGAAGAATGACTGAACCCCTAGGATGAAACCACAGATATTTCTACTTACCCGTGATTATTTTGCTTCAGTGTTGATTCTTCCAGGTTTGCCTGTGAATAAATAGACTTTTGCAGAAGACACCATCGCCATGGAAATGAAAATAAATAAATAAATAAATAAATGACATCATGCTTTCTCTTATGTTTCAGGGAGTCATTCCTTGGGGAATATAACATGTTGACATGTACTATGTAACTTAAAACATATGGGACCAATTTCTTCATTTTTTCTCCACAGACAAGTTTTTTCCTAATTTTGAAGTATTAACCAATTAACAGGCAGTAAATGGAAGTTGCAATAAAGACAATACTTTCTTAGTATAAAAAGTGCAGATTTATATACTGCCATTTGGCTTCTTTCTATAAATATTCATTCCTTGCATGAATGCAGCAGACCATGTATTGCCTAATACCATTTTGCCAGCATTTGCACATCTGAAAATTACTCCATCCAATTCCTCATCATCAATGTTCATCTTGACAACATACACACATTCATAAACCTCTATTTTTTGTACTGTTTGCCTGTTGGTTGGAACTGTTCCCTCCTTGTTCTGTAGGAAACACAGCCACATTGGTTTTTGATACATTCAAGTTCAGATATATGCTTTGGTTGCATCTTTCAGTCTAACATTCCCTTCCAAGAATTCCTGATCTCATCCAACAGCACAGGATTGTCTGCATATGTCAATACAGGAACATTCACATCCCCAATGAACAAATCTGTAACATCATTAAAAGTGTTCTCTACACATGTTTCCATACTTACAATTTCCAATAAGACAACACAAGTATTTGTTTTCCTCCCTACTCAGTCTTGTACTCTTTACAATGCATGTCTTTATTCTCCTGAATGCTTTACTTTCATTATTTATATCACTTTCCTATGTAAAATTACTAGAAAGATGGATAAAAGTATTCAAAATGGCATGCTAAATTTGTATAATCTAACTAGCATCTTGAATTTTACACCTGACTCATTATGTAAATTAGTAGTAGTCAAGATAAGAAGAAACCTGAATATATCTTAATGAAATAACAATTAAAAGAGGGAGAGTGGGGGGCCAATTGAATTAATAAATAAATAGTCCTGGTTACTGCAGGATATATTACGAAATATCAGTCAATTTGGTATGTTCTGTTTCAGAAACCAAATGGTCACTAAAAGAAGTCCTTCAGCATCTTAGGTAAGCTTCTTTTATTTACAGTATATCAGTGAAGTCTGCAGAATGTCTTAGTTTAGAAATAAACTAAGCACCCTTCAAAGAACCTGGATATAGATAACCTTTCATGTCAGGAATAAAAGTTAATGGGGAAAGAAAGTCAGCTTATGAACATGAAAAGGTACTTGAATGAAGTAATAAAAGTTAATGGGGAAAGAAAGTCAGCTTATGAACATGAAAAGGTACTTGAATGAAGTAATAAAAGTTAATGGGGAAAGAAAGTCAGCTTATGAACATGAAAAGGTACTTGAATGAAGTACCTTTAGGCCATATCAAGATACAGAGTATAAGACATATGAAACAAAAGACATTATTAAGACCATATATTAAAAATAGGATTTAAAAAATTAAAATTAAAAAAGAAGGAAAAAGGATGCAAATCATATTTCTGTATCACCCCTACAATTTCCTCTTATCAGATCCACATATGCAGATCTCAACTGTACTGCTTTGTTCAAATAAAGGGCCGTATTATATGCAATTTTTAAAATTCTGACCACACATTAAATATGTTGTTTTAATATAAGGATCCCAATAGATCATTCATCTATTGTGCAGTCCAAGATACTGATCCCTCTCTTTTTTATACAGTTGACATTCAAATAATATATGTATTATGTCTTATATCTCTGGAGCTCTGCAAATACAAGTGCATTCATTATAAGGGACTTAGTTAAATCTTTCATATTTAACCATTGTGTCCAACTGCTCAAATCTTGCTCGAATAAATACCGCCCTAAGATATTTGGGCATTTCTGTGTTTAAATACTTGGCAATTTGGAAGGTGCATTTATAACGGCTCATCCATTTCAGTGAGCCAACCTTACTAAGGTTGGCTATGTCTTTCCGTGCTTCCATATCCAAGTTTCTTTGTGTGGCAATCTTTTTAGCTTGTTCTCTGGAAACAGTTGGCCATGAGATGGGGAGACCACAGCTCCTAATATAATTTGTCAACTGCATTATCCAAGAAGTCTGTAACTGAGATTTTGTCTGTTCTAACAAATACAATTTAGGGAGTCTGTCAGTTTCCATAACATTGATTTTGCACCAATAATTATAAGCCCTGAGTTTTGACAAAGAACAAATTGGGTGAATTCCCAGTTTGGCTCTAACCACAGCAGCTGAAGTTCTTTTATCCACACCCAGGATACTTCTCAGATGCTCTGATTGCATTTGTTCTAATAATGATATGTGTTTTAAGCCCCAAGCTTCAGTGTCATATTAGTGCCTAGGAGTAAACTTGACCTTGTATACTGTGATAATTGGGGCTAAGGAGTCTGGATAACTATGATTTATCAATCTGAGCAGTAAATTCATGCATGCTCTTGCTCTAAGTGTGTTCTTTTGCTGATGAGGAAGCCAAGATCCGGTCTCAGAGAAGACTACCCCTAGGTAAGGAAAGGTATCAACTTGCTTTATTGTCTCACCATCAAATAGCCATCTATGGTTATGATGTCATTTTCCAAAGACCATAATTTTTGACTTTGATTTACTAATGATTAGATAATGATTATGACAGTAGAAGCTATGTCTTCTTAACAACCTGCACAACCCAACTTGTGAAGATGATAGTAAAATCATATTCTCAGCTTATAGCAAGGTGTTACAATATGTGTTTAACACCTTAGGCATATCTACTTCAGGGTCCTTCATTGGTCCTGGTAAGTCATTAACATATAGGTTAAATAACAATGGTGCAAGTATGCATCCTTGTCTTACCCCTTTACAAGTATCAATCTTCTTGTTATGGCTTACAAGAGACAGGGGACATGGTGGAAAATCAGTCTTTCTTCTTCAATTTGGGATGAGTGTGGGGGGTGGAAGCAGGAGACAGGGATTTGAATGCACATTTCTCCCAGTATAGAGATGTGGGAGAGGAAAAGCTGCAGTCACATATGACTGCTTGAGTTGCTCCACCACTGTAATACTAGTTGCATTGTAAATGTATTGTGGGCATGTCTTCCTGCAGAAGTGGTGTGCTCTTTGTGGCTGATATGGCTCTAAAAGATAATTCAACATTTCCTTGGAGAACTACAACAATGTATAACACTGTGCCAGTGCAGCTGGGCTGCAAACATTGCTAACTGCTAGTAGCAGCCTGATTCTTATGGAATTCTCAGGGTAAGTTATGATAGGTGCAAAATATTCTTCATTTTTGCACCACTTCAGTTATGGCAGAGGTGAACCAAATGATCAGTTATTGCATGTCTTAAACATGAAGAATAATAGTAGGACTATTTATTCTGAAGGAGTCAACAGATCTTTCAAGCAGCCCATTTCTATCATAATGATAATTATTTTTTCTCTTCCTTTTGTATGCTATTCTGAAAGTTTACATTATGCTTTTAA